GGAAAGGCTAGAAAACCTGTAAACAGCAAGGTAGTAAATGTTTTAGGTTCTGTGGGCCATACGGTGTCCTAATTTAGTCTGATGTAGCTCACAAAGTGGCTATAGACACTACGTAAAGTAAGCTATTTACAAAAACAAGTGGTAGATCCAACTTGGCCTAGAGGCAATTGGCCCCAGGTTTAAATAAATAGGAATAATTATAGTATACTCCAAAACATCAATGCAATTTTCTTAAGCCCTCATTTTTTTTTTTTACATGTCCACCTGTAGTTAGCTCCGAGCATAAGAAGACATGTAAAATAATAGCCCTTTTGGCCTACAAAGAGGCTTTCTCAAAGTACTGTCATATCTGGTCTAATAGTGATTTATAGCACAATCTGAATATCTGCCATTTTTCTTAAATAACAAGTAGATTTATCTAATTTTTATAAGTTGCTATAATAGAAAACAAAATACCTGTTATGTGCCTTCCATAAATGCATCCAGTAAATGGAGATATAAACTGGGACAAAAGCTGTTTTGAGTTTTATTTGGAGAAGAAAAAAAATTTATATCAATACATTTGTTCAACCTTGATTGTGTAAATTAAAAAATGTATATATCACTGTCAAGTTATGTAAAGGCTTAATTTCAGGCAAAATTCATTAAATAAAAATACTATGTCCATTCTATTAATAGATCTTTTTAAATGAAAAAGCTAATTACCAAAGTTAACATCTCTTATCCAGTGTGTCAAAAAAAGTCTATACAACAGCTTAATGAGCACTTGTTTTCAGTGCTAAAGCTGTTTCCTTGACCTCCACAGATACTTTCCTAAAATACTATGCTTAGCATTAAACATTTCATCTATCACGACAGGCTATCACATTATTCTATCAGACTACAGTGAGGTCTTCAAAAGGTACATCAAGCCACTTGCCATAATTTTGTGTTTTATTAATTTAAATTCTTTAGTACTTTTCAGGTAGCAGGCACTGTGCTGGCACTACGCATAATCCTCCTGACATGCTTTAAATTTAATGGTTTTGCTCCTAAGGCAGCTATCACTTTATGCTACTGTCAGGATACTTAACTCCGGAACCATTCTTGCCCCTGATTTGCCACTTTTAATTTGCTGAGCCCTGGACAACAAATAAAAATACCTTTGAAGCAGTGATACTGGTAGTGTATCAGTACAGAGATCAACTTCAGCAGAGGGGCTTTTTCCAAATTGTTAACTCTACCAACTAAGAATCCCTGCATAGTGAGCTACTGGTAAGACCTTTAACGCAGAGGGGGAAAAAAAAGGAAGAAAACACTGAGCTGAAATAATAGATGAGGGAGAGCCAAAGGGCTCTCATTTTAATAAAAGGGATGCCTTGTACATAGAAAACCAGATTTGAAATTATGAAGTTACTACAACAGGTGCCTCTACACAAAGCCTGTTATAAAACTGACTTGATTCTCTTTAGTTATGACTAACAAAGGAGCAAAAATCCTAAAATCCAGTATCATAGTGAAGTAAAACCATATCTCACCTGTACATTCTTATAATCTACACGTTTTCCACACAAAATACATTTTTTAAGAGGCTCCTTATAAGGATTTTCCATTGGAATAGGCTAAGATAAAGGAAAGAAAAAAATCTAATAGTTTAATGTGTTAATATTAAAATAGAATTAAATCTTAAGGTTACCACATTTGAATCTATCCAAAGGATTAGTTGTACCTTTCTTAATATGAAAAAGAATAAATGACAGCTTGGCTTGTAGAAGAAAAATCAAGGTTTCTAAAAAAGTCACCATTTTAAGGATTTCAGTGTGTTTATAAATGTTTTGTACGCGTACTTTGGTTTGGCTGAGGAGGAATTAAATCATGGAGGAGGATTCTGGGATAGAATACAATCTCTGTTTATGGGAGGATACCTTTCATGGCCCCAAACTGCTTTATATCTCAACCTTTTTGGTTTTTCTGTCCTCACTACTACCTCTAATGCTTCTGTCACAATGCCTCCAATCTATAATCAGTACAGGCATGTCTCCAATCAAGATATTCTTATCTAGAAATGGCTTTGAAGACCTTAACCCCCTGTAGTTGTATGCAAAATTTCAAGTGAATGAAATTGTGAGCTTTTTTCTGAGAGCCCATATTTTATTAGCATCTCGGGAATTTATGACCTATAAAACAGCTCTAGTAATGTCCTTTACTCTCTTGAACTGTGGTGTGCATTAAATGACCAAGAAGGATGCTCAAGGGACTAGAATTCTGTTTTCCAACCCTTCAGACTCTTAATCCAATTTATATGCAGCTCACATGTAATGATTACATTCCTTCTCTACACTGTGTTAAAATGTTTTGTATGGTTTGATTAGTGTCAAATCATCTTTGCATATAGCAGGAAAAGCTATACTGGCCAAACCCAAAGCTAGCACTTGAAACCCATAAAAATACATCTACAGGCTAAAAGAAACTGTATTGAACATCCTGGTTGTAAAACTTTAATTTTGATCACTTACTCACTAAAACACCAAACCCACTCCCCCCCAAACTCCCCCAGTAATGAATGGCACAAAGAACTGAATCTGAAATGGGGAAGAGACTTTGTCCAATTCCTCTGTTGGATATTCTGCAATTGTTGCACACACCAAAACTACCTTCTTTAATTTCTAAAGCACATATCTTTAAATTTAAGATCTAGGGGCGCCTGGGTGGCGCAGTCGGTTAAGCGTCCGACTTCAGCCAGGTCACGATCTCGCGGTCCGTGAGTTCGAGCCCCGCGTCGGGCTCTGGGCTGACGGCTCAGAGCCTGGAGCCTGTTTCCGATTCTGTGTCTCCCTCTCTCTGCCCCTCCCCCGTTCATGCTCTGTCTCTCTCTTTCCCAAAAATAAATAAAAAACGTTGAAAAAAAAAATTAAAAAAAAAATAATAATAAATTTAAGATCTAAGAAGAAAAGTATGGTCTTACACAATTGATGCTTCTTGGTAGATCTTTAGAAATTCTCTTACTTCAAAGCTCTCTTAAGTGCTGATTAACCAATGAATTATAATTTTCAAATTTTGATTATTTTCTTAATTGTTTTGTCGTCCAGCTGAACTTTATTCAAATAGCTAAAATGTAAGAATTTGCTCATATTTGCAAATGCCTTAAAGGGAAGAAAAAAAGCCTTACCAGGTCCTCATTGCTGGCTACCTGCGTGTATTGTGAACAGCTTCTCCACAGCACTGCAATTAAACAAACAGAAACAAACCAATTCTTTTTGTTAGCTCTGTAACTAAAGAAATATTTTTGTTTTTATGGAAGCAAGGTGAACCAAGGGATACAATATAAAAGAAAGGTTTGGGGGCACCTGGATGGCTCAGTCTGTTAATCCGATTTCAGATCAGGTCATGATCTCCCAGTTCATGGGTTTGAGCCCCAGGCTGGGCTCTGTGCTGACAGCTCAGAGCCTGGAGCAGATTTCTGATTCTGTGTCTCCCTCTCTCTCTGCCCCTCCCCCACTCACACTCTTTCTCTCTTTCTAAAATAAACATTTAAAATTTTTATTGAACAAAGAGGTTTTGGGGCGCCTGGGTGGTCAGTTGAGCGTCGGACTTCGGCTCAGGTCAGGATCTCGCAGTCGGACTTGGGCTCAGGTCAGGACCTCGCAGTTCGTGAGGAGCCCCCGTGTGGGGTTCTGTGCTGACAGCTCAGAGCCTGGAGCCTGGTTCAGATTCTGTCTCCCTCTCTCTGCCCTTTCCCCACTCATGCTCTCTGTCTCTCAAAAATGAATAAACGTTAAAAAAGATTTTTTTAAAGAGGTTTTATATTTACAAACAACGACAGAATAAAAACCTTTAGAAGTGAGGCAGAGTAAGATTTATGATGAATGTGTTTTCCAAGGCTTTGGGGAAAAGGCATATATTTCCCTACCCCTACAACCTCTCACCTGCTCTCTTCCTGAAGTTTATTTTCCCTTCACTCAACGGTTAGAGGCAGATTTCGACGGAAATGCCGGGAAAGCAACAGAAAGGCATTGTTATAGCATAGGGAAAATGTAGTAACAGACCCCCTAAAGAAAGTATTGACAGAAAAGATAACGTGCAGAAACGATAGATTCGAGACCCCATGTCACAATTTCGCCCTGATCGGGAACGTTAGACATCCCCTATAATCTGCTGCTGGGTGACTCTGGAAATGTACTTTCCTTACCAACTCTACCCAGAGCTCTCAAGCAAGTACTCTGAGAATCAGGAGATCACTCTCTTCGTGTGGTTAAAAAAGTGTACTCGACGACAATCACGCACCCTTCTGCCTTAAAACACTAGTCACGGGCCATTACAGATTCCCACGTATCCTGGATAAGCTCTTAATCGCCTAGAAACCGGCGTCGTTTGGCTAACAGTGACCACTCCACCAACCTAATTAGGGCCAATGCAACGGCTGCAATGCCACAAAAGAGCATAGGTTATGGAAACTTTACCCGCGTGAGTCTTAGGATCTCTGAGGCAGAGAGCTGGCTTTATGAAGTACGCCAACTTTTTCCTCCCTAGATCACTGCAAACAGCAGCCAGCGCCGCCATGGATCCTCGCTCCTCCTCTTCCTTATCCTCTTTCCAAATACTCCTGACGAGTCGCCTTCGGGGTTCCTCCCTTGGTGGCCCGAAAACTCGATTCAAAGGTTCCGCTGGCGAATCGAAGTCGGTAAGGTTTTCAATGCGCCTGCGCAGCACCTTTTTGTTCAACCCTTCACAGGCACAAGCCTGGGACACCTATGATTGGACAAGGAGAAGGCGGGCCCCTCTGCTCGGGCCTCCGCTTCCGGTTTGAGTGCCCCCCCCCCCCCCCCCCCCCCCCCCCCCCCCCCCCCCCCCCCCCCCGCCTCCCGGCAATTGATTTGCGATATTACCCTAAGGTGGATGGACAAGCGAGCGCGGTTTCCCGTCAGTTGCTACCCTCGCTCAGTGCTCCACTCCCTCTTCCACGGGGGTTTGGCAGCTGGGTCACGCGGGACGAAGTTCGGGCAGGGTCCTCGGCCCCTGCCATGAATGAAGGTGGTTCCCGCATCCGCCGGCGGGTTGCTGTCCGCAAAAGGAACCGGCCTAGCTTAGAGAGCATTTTTGCCTCCCCCACCGCCGCCGATCTCCAGCCAGGCGATGAGGAGGAGGAGGACGAGGAGGAGATGATGGCTGGAAGTCGGCGGAAGAAAACCGCGGAGGTGCAGCCCGTCGAGGTACAACCGCCTCAGCTCTCAAATTCCCCAAGGTCCTGGTCTCATTGTCCACTTTTGGAGCGATGATGTAAACTCAGGTCTCCTAGCGTGCATGCCCACTGAAAGAACCCTGGGAGACCAGCTGTAGAAGTGATGGAATTTGAAACTTCAAAATTTCGGCAGTTCCCTTCTTAGATGCAAACAATTGACCAATTATCT